GTGGGAGGAGGGAAGCTCAGGAAACTTCTGGCTTGAGCCTTCTGCCCAACCTCGGCCCAGACAGCCGCCCCTCCTGTCCGCTGCAACACCCTGAACCGGCCCAGCCCCTCCGAGTAGGGCAGCAGCTGCCCTACCTCTGGCCAGGGACTCAAAAGGCTCCAGAGGGTCTTCGCTCAGGATGTGAGCATCTTCCAGAGGAGTGGTGATAGGAGATGCGTCCCCCAGGCAGCCGCTGGCCGTGTCGGGTGCCAAGACAGATGCCTCCTGGCTGAGTGGCACCACAGCTGCAGCAGACCCATTGTAGCTGCATATCTTCAAGTCTAGAGAGAACAACCAACCAAAAACAAACCCGTGATAGCAGGATGCGTTAGCAACAGAGCCCGGGGCCTCTGCCATCCCTGCCTTAGGGTATCACTAAGCTCTTGTGTCCCAGGAGACAGCACAGCACTGAGCTCCTCTGTTGCCAAGCTGTGCAGAGCCAGGAGCGGGGAGCCTGCAGGGCTAGCTGCATCTGTGCACAGGCCCCCCCCGAAGAACAGAGCAGCTGGGGAGAGGAGGGGGCGCATGTGGCAGCCCTGCAAGAAGCAGCCTTTCAGCCCAGCTCTTGCACCACAGGGACTGGCTCCCGATTCCTCATGCCACGTCAGAGCTGCAGGGACGGCACCAGAGGCAATCGGGAGCTGGGTGGCCTCGCTTCGCTCTGGCCCAGGGCTCTCGCTCAGGCTGGCGGTCGTTCAGAGCCCTCCGGGGTACCATGCTGAGGCTCCCCACTGCCCAGCCACTTCCCCTTCCCAAATCCCCACACTGCAGCGGCTCTCTGGGCCTTGGGGACGGTTTGCTGCCTTGCCTCCTCCAGTCTTTTCCACACAGGTTCACCCACCATGGCTCCTCCTCAGCTCTTCTCGAGGTCGGTCCTCGTGTATTCAATCCCAGCCATGCTGCTAGATTCTCTCCTGCAAAGCTGGCCCCGAGGAACCCCTCTGGGGCACGGCGAGGAGAGCAGACACAGGAGGCTGTGCTTCCCAAACCCAGGCTGCGCAGCAGCAAGCCTTTCTGCTGAGGTGGGCCACACAGTCCCTTTGGCACTAAAAGACCCTGAGCTGCAGCTGCGTCTCATCACCTACATCCATACATGGAAGAAGTAGCAGGAAACATCACCCTGTCAGCAAATTACGTTGGCAGGCTGCATCTGGCCCGATCTAACAGGATCCCAAGGCCTACCCTAAGCTGTGACAGGCAAAAACCAGCCTGAGATTCAGGGCAGGTGGAGTCAGACAGGCCACATTTCCCAGAGGGGCAAAAGATCCAGCTCTACGTTTGGTACATAACCAGAAAGCCAGGTACCCAGCTCCCATCCTACTCTCACGAGTTGGGGTCCCTAAGGCCTTACAAATAGGAACTGTGCCCACCCAGCATCCAGCAGTGCCAGGGCCCTTACCTGGCTGCGTGTCTTCCAGCTCCATGCTGCCCACCAGCCCGCCCCCATTCTCCGAGATGGCAGGGGAAATCTCTTTGGCTGCGGCTGTGTCTTCCTCGCTGGTGCCCGACTCATCCTGCGGGCACTGGGGGAGCGAGAAGGATTGCATGCCGGAGCTCAGCATGGGGGAAGGCTGGGAGGCTGCGTAGAAGCTGGCTGGCCCGTTCTGCATGAGCTCGAAGTTCTGGTCATGGAAGGAGTCGTACAGCTCCTGCGAGTCAAAGTTCAGCCCCATCGAGCTGGGGGTGCCGTTGCCCCAGAACTCCTGCTCTGTCCCCCTCAGGTTAGTGTTGTGCCCCGGGGATGTTTGCCGGGAGCCCCCAATAATGCCGTTGAGCGGGTACTGTCCAAGGCTGGAGAACTGGGAGATGATGGGGCTGCTGTCCTTGAGGTTGCCAGTGCTGGCAGGCTGGTACTGCGAGTAGTCCCAGAGACAGTCGTAGGAGTGGAGGTGAGGCGTGCTGGAGGAATGCGTGGTGGAGGTGAAGGTCCCTGAAGTACTAGTGTGAGATACAGTAGAGAAGCCATTAACATTCATACCCCCATTCAAACCTGTGAAGAAAGAGCGAGAGGGGAAGAGAAACTGGTCAGCCATATGGCACTGAGCTGCAGGCCCCCGCCCAGCACATCCATCATGGGAGCAGAGGGGATTTCTCGACACTGCAGCCTCCCTCCGTGAGAACCCAGCCAGGCTCCACCAACAGCAAATGAGACAGAGAAACTATCCCAGCAGCCACAGAGCTTCCTGCCCTGCCAGTCCCCCGTCCTCACCTGCCCCAGCACAGCCCGATACGCAGCCTCTCCCCCTGCCACGAGGGCCCTGCTCAAGGACAGGATCTCTGCCCCTGGTTGTCACCAGCAACAGGTGAGGGGAGATGCGACGGCAGTCACCTCACCTGCCAGAAGCCCCGCCAATCCCACCCACGAGTGCCTGGAGCGGCCCAGCTGCACACCAGCACCCAGTGCTGCTTCCAGGGCCTTGGGACAGCAGTGGATTTCAATGCATCTGGGCAGAGCTCGCCCAGTACACATCAGCCAGCAGTGGGAGCGTGTGTCCCCTGACTGGCAGAAGGAAGCCGAGCAAAGATGATAGCTGGGCAAGCTCACAGGGCTGGGACCTCGCTGCCTTTGTAGCGACAGGCCACAGACAAATTCAGGAGGCACTATGCCAGCGAGGAACTGCAAGCCAGGGCAGAGAGCTGAGCTGTGCAGAGCCACGGCTCCGGGACTTGCCTGGCAGGGCAGCAATGCAGCCCTGGCATAAGCCCTGGCATTGCCCAAACCCAGACAAAGCGGGGCAGTCCGTATCTCTGCACCCCCAGTGACCCCCAGGCACAGCTGGAGCCTCTGGGAGCAGGGGTGCGCACAGGCACAGCTCCCCCATTAGGTGAAACCGGCCCAGCCACTGGGCTTTGCCAGTGTCTAGATCAGAGCAACAGGAATCCCAGGGGATTAGTCAAGCACTTGGCAGGGCTGCCGCAGGGATCAGCTGACCAGCCAAATCCACGCAAAGACCCCGTTCTGGCAAGGCCTCTCTTTTCTAGGCCAAAGCGATTGCAAGCACACAACAGACCCCTCCCTGATTCTTCCCCGATCCAGCACGGCCACCCAGGATCCACAACACTCGCTGGCTGGGAGACTTGCCTCCCAGCCACGCAAACCACTGCTCTTTCATAGTCTCTTCATGTCCTGCCCAGGACAGCCTGGCCCCAGGGCCACCTCCTCACTCTCACTCCCCCAGGGACGCTCCCTAGGGGCTCCATGGCCCAGGCTCCCTCCTCCCATTAAGTACATGAAATCAGAGCGGGACCAGCGTGTGGGATTAGATCGGTCCTGCCCCTGCCGAGCCCCGGGGCACAGCAGGACTCTCTGCGGGGTTCTGCCCTGCATGCACCCGCTGACGGCGCTCAGCTCCGCTGGCACAGAAACCTTCGAGGTACCGAGCGTCTCCTCGAAGCAAGCCCGGGAGCTGGGACTCCCCGAGCTCTCTCCCCTTCTGACAAACGCTCACTGGCCACACCGTTCACCCTCAAAAGCGAGGTCCCCGACTCCCTCTCCACTGAAGGCTAGTTGCTGTCTGCAGGGCGCTCTGTCCCTAGAGAATGGCATATGGCGGGGGCCTAAGGATTTCTACAGGCAAGCTATGGCCAGCCCTGGCTGCCCCTGCCCTCCCCAGGGCACTTACTTTTCCCTTGTGGGGGGAAGTTCATAGGAGACCCGTTCGTGTATAGGCTGTCCCCTGAGGAAGGCGTGGGTTTCAGTCCTGAGGCAGTAGGTACGGAGGAAAGGCCAGTGAAGTTAAAATGGTTGTTTGTTTCCATTTCTGAGAAGGGGAAAAGAGAGACACGGAAGGGTTAAACGCTGCCCGAGCCTGGAGGGACAGGGACTTCCAGACCATTAAGAACATCCAGCCCGCCACCCCCACCGCAGAGCCCAGGGTGGGGAGACCATCTGCCCACAAACCAGCCCAGCCCTTCCCCAGGTGCCTGCTCCCAGGCAGCGGAGGCTCTACCCAAAACCCTCTGCTCCTGTGAGCTGGGGCAAAGAGCTGCTCCTTAAAATACAGGCAGTGCCGGAGAGAGCCGTGTGGAGGAAACCCTGGGGAAAGCATCTTGCCTTGCCGGAAGTGCCTGGAGGCAGGGGAGAGCCCCAACCCTGGAGTCACAAGAGAGAGAGCACAAGTGGGGCAAGGGAAGGCAAAGAGCTGCCTACTACTAACCAATAAAGCCTTTCAGGGCAGCAGCGTCCCCCTCACCTGGGACCCCAAGGGCCATTCAAAAGCAACAGAGACCTCTGCACTACCTCTGCAACAAGCCGGCCCCCAAACCAGCAGCCCTGCATTAGGCAAGCTGCCACCTGCGTGAGTGTAGGCTTGTCACCACGCTCCAGCGTCCCCAGGGAAGGCTGTTACTGAGAAATCTCATTTGCTCCCCGCATGGACTTCTTTCCGCATTAAACTCAAGCGCTCTGCTCTAAGTTGCTGGCTTCCCAGGGCTCCTGACCCAGTGAAGGGTGAGACCGTGGCAGCGGCGTGGTGGGAACTCTGGCAGGCTCCAAGGAAGACGCCAGAGGCAGACCCAGCAGAGGATGCTTCTCAGCGAAGCATCAGCTTCCCCTCGGAGAGCAGGTTTCTGACCTTGCGGGGCCTCGGCAAAGCCTCAGCTCCCTGGGAAAAGCAACGCTTCCCAGACACAGAAACGCTACTGCAGCGATGAGCGAGCCCATGAAACGGGACCGAAAGGAGACTGCGGCTGTGGCGGGGGCCCGGGCTGCGC